CATCCCCACAGCACATTTGAAAATCAAATCCCACCCCACCCAAGTCAAAACCAAAAATCAAATCATCCAACCACCAACACACCGTCGCACTAATTTTTCTTTTGGAACATCTTCAGCAGCTGCAGATAACCCACCATCGTTGTCGCTATAAAATCTACTCCAAATAACATGAACCCAAATTCAGAAATGACCACCTAGACCAACACTTCTCCAAGCAACACTGTCTCCATTACATTTCCATACGAGTCAAACTCAATTCTTGAACTATACGAAGCTCAACTCCTATTGCCAAAAACGTCACATCGAATTATATCACAACTCATACCATATTTGATGACTGAGATTTAGGTTTTGGTTTGGATGAAGATTTGATAGCTATTTCAAAACTTACTTCTCAACTCAAGTTGGGTGTCTTGAGATTTTCCAAGTGTAGAGGTGCAGAAGTTGTGCGGATGGTGGCGACCACGATTCCAACGACAGTGTGAGTGGGCTAGGGAAGGAGGATGAATGAAGGTGGTTTATATTATTTTTATTATTATTTGGGATTTTAAATTAATTGTTTTAACATATTTAATTTGAGAAAAATGTAAAGTATCATCCTGCCCTTTTTAAATTGGTCTAAATTGATTAAATTTTGACACTTTCGATCAATTGACAGTCAAATAGACAGTGGACCCCTAGCACCTTTTTAAAAGGTTTGAGACTATAAATATCACAAAGTGAAGGTTGAGGTAAAATCTGGAAAAAAAAAAAAAAAAAAAGGGTTAGGAATCGCTGCTGCAATTTTCCCTAAAAATTATCTAATCTCAAAAGGTGGGTGGGGGTGGGGGGGGCAGGAAGTAATCAAATCTTGTTTTCACATTAATTAATCCAAATATTTTTCAATTGTTCATACGTCGTATTTTGTTGACTGGCTTTATGCGTCAAGTCGTTATGCAAATTCTAATAATTCTCACTTTTCTGTCGCATACTGTGGCGCTAGTAGTACGTCTTATTCTCATCGCTAATAATTCTCTTTTTCACCAACATAGTGTAGCACTCTCACTTGAATCAATAAAGTGATAATAGTATTTATCAGTTTTTACTTTATTTTTTTAATTAGTTTCTTTATTTTAGTTTGCATAATATGCAACATTGGTCTGAATAAAACTCTTAAAACTTCTTATAATTATATTCTTTAGAAAATTTTGAACAAATATTCAGCCGACTGATTTATTTTTCCTCGGATTTTTGTTTGATTCTTGCTCTCTTATAATTTATTCAAAAAATTAATAGAAAAAATGAAAATTCGGTTCACAAAAGCTTGGAAGATTCATTTCAGTGTAAAAAGAATCTAAATGGGATCCCATTAATTCTAGTGGTAGACAACTTTAAACTGGTCAAGAGATATTTTTAGGATAATTGAATGTGAAGTCAACGTTTGTCATCTCCCCAGAAAGCAAAGTTTGGCTTAAATCTGACCTCTTTTTCAATTTTTATTTCAATCGTATTTCATTGATAGATATTTTTTTTAAAATAGATTTTGTTAAAAAATTATTTTTTTTTAGAGAACGTATTGCTAAAAGCAGATAAATAATTTTATTTAAAAAATAATTTTAAAAAATAAAAATCAGATATTAATTTTTTTTATTTTTTTTTTGAACCCCAACCTTAAGGGTCCCCCATCGGCCCTGTCCTGGAGCATCGTGAGGAAGGTAAATCGCAGGTTATGCCTCCAAGGGTACAGGGTGGAATGCTGCTTGTACACTTGCACTTACCCAAGAGTCAAATCCATATTTCAGGATCCGAACTCTTGACGCGACAGCCTCAAGCAAAGCTAGATTTCTCCACCCTCCCCTTTTACCACTTGGAGATGTGTCCTGAGGGCAATCAGATATTAATTTTACTTTGACACCATCTCGGCTCTACCTATTTTAAAGTGTCGTTATTATTCGGTCTCTCATGCATGAAGATGAGTTTACATTGCTTTTTGTCATTGAACTATAACACGATTCCAATAATATCTCCTCTATTTTCAAGCAATAATACTTTAGCAAAAGGTAAATATGATTTTAATTTTATAATTGAACTTTTCTTGCTGATAATTTGTAAGTGGCTATTTCTTTCAATTTTTAATTTCAAAAAAGTAAAATAAAATCGTATGAATGAAGCAAAATTTGTTCCGTGTCAATACTTCCTTAACAATGACTTAATCCTTTTAATAAGTTTCCTATCTTCTTAAAATCTTTTAATACATCAAACTACAACCTTTCATTATCATTACTCACAAAGTAACGTGTGATTCGAGAAACCTAAGCAATTTTTATATTAATCGAAGCCATTCTTTAAGTCACAAAAAATAATGCTTAATTTTTTTTTTTACTATTTTAATTTTAAATAATTGTGGAGAAATTGCTGTCAACATGGGTGGATCCAAGGATGGGTTGGGCCGTGCTTCAGCCTGTCCCTTCGACCCTAATGTTCATTAAAAAAAATAATTTAAGTAAAATATATATATTTTTTACTTGCAATATTTTTTTTATATGTATTAGTCCGTATTGATTTTTTTTTTTTTGGATTCGGCACTGCCTGTCAAAAGTCTACACAAATTATTTAGTACTCTGTAGAGTGCCGCCCGGAGAATCGGAAACAATTGATATTCATTTGTCCTTTCACACAGTCCAATTTGTCATAAGAATATTCAATTTGTAATATTTTTATTTGTATGTTTGTCACATCCAAATGAATCAACAAATAAATATCTCATATATTTTAACACTTTTTTTAAAAAAATAACAAATAATTAGAGAAGACTAGACGACCGTATTCTTTAAGTAACAAACAAAACAATTCCAATAGCACTAATAATTTTAAGTTGATGTTGACTTTTGATGACAAATTCGTATAAATTTTCCATTATTTTTCTAGGATAACTTCCATTAGTAGTTGTATTTTTAATTAGCGTCAATTAAGAAATTGTTTTAATCGTATAATTCCATTACTCGGACTTGATAGGAAACGATGACTGACAATTAAAAAAAATGATGTCAGTCTTTTATTTCATTAAAATTATACTTATTTCACGTTAATAACTAATTATTATGTGACATCATTTATTGATTGTAAAGTCATCAATTTTGTTGGTGGAATTGAACAAAATTATCGTGGTCGAAATCAAAACGGTGTATAGTTACCTTATTGAAAAAAGATAAACGCTGACTTCACATTCAAATGTCCTAAGAATCTGTATGGAATTCATTATTTCAAATTTTAATTGTTGGAATAATATTTTTTTTTAAAAATGAATGATTGAAAAAGAATGAAATTTTTTTATTGACGTGTAATATTAATTTACAAAAGATTGTACAGCTGAAAATAAGAAAAAGAAAAATAAATTTTAATTTAATAGAAACCAAACAGGGATTAAACTAGTCCATTCAAAAATTGATGTAGATAACGGCATTAACGAAGACAAAATGGGCCGACCCTAATTACAATGGAAGAGCGTGTTTGGAATTATTTGATGATGTTAACGTAGAAGAATATTTGATAATTACTTATTTAAAAAAGCATTTGAGAAATTGATTATTTTGGAAATTTCTATTTTGAAATCAATTGAGTGTTCGGCTACATTTTTTAACACACACAACACCTGAAAGAATTGTGGGCCTACCCATTTCATTTACGCCCACTGACACATAATTGGGCCGAATCAACCAGTGTGAGTTGGATCTTATAAATTTTGATCCAAAAACTGATTCTCGATATTAATGAAAAACCCAAATCACAATTGATTTTAGACCCGAATTGTAAAAATGGAAAAGATGTCCACAATAAAACAAACATATAGAAGTAAACAATGTGAATTATACTCAAATGTCATTTCCATAGTTGCTCAAAAGAAAAAACTGTCTTTTCCTTATCAATAATATATTTTTTTTAAAGCTGCAGAAAAATACGGTATAATTTCCGAGTACGAACTATATCAAAAATATGTTGAAAATCTTGAAAGTGAATTCAGAATCTCCTCATTCTTTAGTAGTAATGGTTGCAAGACCTACACATGCATTAGAAAAGTCAAATTATACTGCAAAAACAAAATTAAAAATGATTTTCAATATAAGGAATACGTATATTTCGTCATCAAAAATTATCAAACGTACCGGCCAGCAGCAGCCATAGGAGTAGCATCGTAATAGTAGTTTGAGTTGTAGGAAGAATATTCAGGCAATGCCCTCCTCAATGGATAGTGCTGGTATGAATTATGCGACATGCCTCCCGGCAAAGCACTCTGGTTCCAATAAGGTTCACTTAGGGCACCATATCGAGAGTACCCATAACCATGGTTGTATTTATGGGGACTACTATAATAATCTTGGTTGTTGTAATAACCCCCTCCTCTACCTAGTCTTGGGTGATCGAGTTTGGTATATACAAGTTCAGCATGTTGTCCAGTTCTAGCTAATGCAGATAGGCATAAATTTGGATCTACCTCACCTGTAATCCTTGCCGTCCCTTCTTCTGTACTAATCGTGACAGAATATACACCTTGCAAAAATGTAATTAATAAACACCAAAGATTAAAATCAAACTTTCTCTAAACTCAAGAATTAAATGACCATGCTAGATGTACCTAATTTTTTTTACCTAATGCTTTACACACACTCACAATAGGGGCGTGGGGACCACATATTGGGATTATTTTATTCACGTGGGGTCCACGTGCTTTTGAGAATAGGTAAACCAAATTATGTACACTTAGAATTATCCTTGACGAAAAATAAAATGATCTTTTATATCTTTACATGGAGTTGATCAGGTACTGATAGAACAAATTTTAAGTGAAAGTTCAGTTTTTAGACTAAATAATTAAAAAATTGTAATTAATTACCACAAATGGAGTTCAATACTTCCAATGTCTTCCTCTTACATGCATCACAACGGGTATTCACCTTCAAAATACAACACTGCAATAACACAGTATATGAAACCAGGAAATTTTAATGACTTACATTACATGTACTGAAAATTCTGTAAAGAAAAAGAATGAAACTTAATTACCAAATTGGCATAGGGCTCCATTTCATCAACAATAACCTCAACTTCTGCTATCAGTAACCTGTTTATCTTAACCAATTAGAAAATGGTGTTCGAGTAAAAAGAGAATTTCTCCTAATTTTCGTTTTCCTCGTACAACAATCTCTTGTACGTTGTAAATGAATTAATTTACTACTTTAAAAGAAATCCCACAAACTAAGATTTCAATGGATAGCTTTAATAAACAAAAAGTACCTTTGGCCGAACGATGAACGCGGAAGAAAGATGAAAAATGAAGAGGGTTATATATAATTTACATTCATATGCGTTCTTAGGAAGGAGATATAAGACTGGTAAGTTTAAGGGAAAAAATAAGGAAGGAAAATATACGTGGGATGGAAGGGAAGAAAATATTTTTCTTTTTCCTTTTATTGATTTTCTTGCCTTTTTTTTTTTATCGATCATGTCTAATTTAGAAGCCATTCAAAATCAAATTGATCACGAACCATCCCAAAAGCTTTAAAAGGGAAATATTTTTTTTCTCACTTAAAAAAAAAAAAAAAAACGTTATTCAATATCACTTTCGAAATGAACGACTTATTGACTAACAATAAATATTTAACTTAAAACAAGTAAACTTGATTATTACAAAATGCTTAAAGCTTAGCCAAAACTATTAGGACATATAATTTCCAACGGGCGCAAGAGCAAAGGAAATTTTATACGAAGAAACCATCTTTTATTAAGCGACAAAGAAGAGTGAATATTGGTTTTGCTTGATAGAAATTTGATATGAAAAGTGAGAGATTATATTATTTGAAATTTTAGCGTTACTTCCAACTGCAGTCCAAAGAAGAGTGATTCCCACTGCCAAATTCTCATACGTGAATATTGCTTCTGTTCGCTTTAATTGATGTGGCAATAATAACATAAATAAAATATAGTCATGCTTGATGTACAGAAAAATTTTTCACAAAATACTGTCAGAATACACACATAGAGAGGGTGGATAGGGTATTTTTTTGGCATTTTTTTTTAATGGTGGGCTCCACATCATGAGATTATTCTGACAACATACTGTAAGAAGTTATTCTGACCTATGGATTTATCCAA